GTACATAAACAGTGTCGTAATTCGCCAAGTGCAAATCAGCAAATTCGTAAAATTTTTGTTTATTTTGAACAATCCGGATAATCGAAAATCCGGATAATGGAGGTCCGGATAATGGAGGTTCTACTGTATTACCCACTAAATCCAACACAATAATAATAATAATAATAATGAACGTCCTAAATACCATAATTACATATTATTGCTCGTCAATAACCATGTAGAGATAAATGAACAAAGTAACATATCAATATTAGAAAAAAAATGAATACAACAAAACTGAAAAGTAATGGTAAGCAGATATAAAAAAACTTTTTAGCTCATTTATTTTTGTTTATAGAAAATTAAATAAAAGCACCTCTATTATTATTAATAAAAAAAATTATAAGAAACAACATAAATTCACATTTGATATGACAATAAAAAGCTTAAATATAATTGAAAAAATTTATGAATCTTACATTTGCTTTCGTACGATGAAGTTCAGTAATTTCAGATTTCAATTGGAATACTGTTCTATCTAATACACTAACTTTTTCACTTGTTCTACCAGAACTATTAAAAATAAAAAAATATATATATATTGATTTTTAATTCAACATAATTTTATAAATTAAACTTAAAAAATTAACTTAGATTCATACTTTAAAAAGTTGTACTAAATAACTTAAATAGTATTAAATACTTCAAAACAGATTCAAATAAAAAAGAGAACAATTTTAGCACAAGATTTTCAAATGTTTTGATCCATTTATTGTTTTATATATGAAAACAGAATCAAACAAATTGTAATACAGTAGAGCATCAATTATCCGACTCAATTGGGGACTGGGGTTGTCGTATAACTGAAAAAACAAATAACCGAAAAATATGAATACATTATTAGTATAGTACTGTACATTAGTATATCCCATGTAATTAGTATATCACTATTAACCTACTTCGCATTAAATTTTCATTGATGTTAAGCCTAACAAAAATTTTTCTTAGTAATAATCGTCACTATTGTATTGTTAAAAATTAGAAAATTAAGCCTCGTTTAAATACTGGCTCCCTTTCATGGTCAAGCCAGTGTTGCCAGCTAAAGCACGTAAAAATAGTAAAAATATTAAAGTAGCCAAAACATAGCCAAATACTGTAGTGCCACATCACTAGTGGACATTTGAATTTGCCGACTAGAACGTGGTCGGTTAACCGATGTGACAGTTGATAAGGGGTTGGATAATCGATGCTCTACTGTAATTGAATAGATTATTTTAAGCTGTAAAGTGTAGATTTATAAATATACAATAGAATCTGCTTATTGTAATCATAAATATTGTTGAGTTGTTTAATATTATCAGAATTAGCACTCAAAATATACAAGTTAAAATACATTTACAGTTGATCCCCCTATAACACGGGTTCAAATAATGCGGATTCGTATATTGAGGCAAAAAAATTGCAACCGTATTTGTATAAAGACACTAAAAGAGACTCGTAAAATGCAGTAAAACGTCATTGCCTACTCATGTCGCAACAGGATTGGTCAAATCTGGACCAATAGTGGACGAGCAGCCAAACTACTTACATGCTATGGAGAGTTTAGGCGGGTAAGTTGAGTTTACTATCGTCTGTACAATATTAACTTAATTTATTTTAACTTTATTATAATTATATATATACTTTTCGCAGTCCAGTGCCACGCTACAGAGAGTTTAGGCGAGTAAGTTGAGTTTACTATCGTCTGTACAGTATGTAAATTAGTTACCATAAATTTAATACAGCACTAATTTTGTACATTTCTTGTGAAAAAAACATTTCTTATTCAACGGCCATAAAAATTATTTCTATTAATGATGTCTCCAAAGTTCAGTGAATTTTTCGTAAAAAAAATAATTTATCAGGAAGCACGCAAGCACCATTCCGTTTTCCAAATGTTTTATGTTGGAAAACGGAACCCAACATAGAACAGTTCATTAATTTAATGAACGATAACCCTTATGGCCTGAGAATCAAATTGGACCAGAAAAGCAACACCGCCGCGCATTTTTTGGACTTGGACATTCGAACTGAGAATAATGTAATCACATACAAGGTCTATTACAAAAAGTCCTATGTACCGCTCTTCATTCCAGCTAACTCGAAGGACTCTTACTCATACAAGATTGCGACTTTTTGGGCATTAACTAAGAGGGCTTTCACGCATCACTCTAGCTATGAAGGCACCATGGCTGAGCTAAGGCAAGTTCAGGAAATGGCCACACAGCATGGATATAATAAGAACTTAATATATAACATGGCTCGTGCTTACACACAGGCAAACACACGGGACAATACCAATTCCCTTGGGGAGTCTTTGGATAATAAATGTGCAAGAAAAATCGTAACGTACAACCACCATCTGGATAAAATATACAGGGAAATCTCATCCATCACCAGGACTAAGATAGCGTACAGTAGGCCTAGATCCGTTTACAACTTGCTTCGCAACGGAAAAGATGCAATTGACTTGAAACACGCACCGGGGGTGTATACCGTCCCCATGTGGGATGACAGATTTAACAACCGTTTGGTTTATGTGGGATCAACCAAACGCTCCCTTCACAAACGGCTTCGGGAGCATAAATACAATATTGACAATAAAAAACACACCACCGCCCTATCAATAGTTGCCACGGAACCAGGAATCACGGCTGACTTACAAAGGGCCCGTATGATCAGGATCTCTCATCGTATGGATCAACTGAGGGCCATGGAGACTCTTGAAATATATAAAGCAGGTTTACGCGGCACGTGCATTAATTCCAGGGATGCAGTCGGGATATCGGGCGCGTGGAAGTTTTGTTATGAGGGAAACCACCCCCGTAACTGATTTGTTGAATTTCCTATTTTTTGTTGTGTTCACCGTTTCGCAAAGGAGTGGTTGCGCGTGCGCAACGTTCCGTGTTTATTCTTAAGTTTGTTTTTCAAAATTTTGAATCGCTTAAAGTTCGTTTTAATGTTCTGTTCCATACGCATTCGAATTCCTCATAAACATAGCCTGATGAAGACCCAGATGGGGTCGAAAATGTTCGCTGATGTATAAAGCAAGTATCACTGGAGTTACGAAGGTTTTTGTGTGAAAGTATGTTCAAATGATGTTTAAAATATTGCTTTTTCACTTGAATGAAGCTTTGTGCATTGCATGTTACAAATGATCGATCAGAAGTCACAACCAAAAATGTCATTTATTTAGGAAGCAAACTGGAGTTTAATTATCATCATCAATAACTTAGTCAAAGTCATTCAAAAATGATGATGATTTTTTTTAATACTCAGTACAACTGTATATATTTAAAAAATAATTTACTCATACCTTGTTGAACCCTCTTCAGTATCTTGTTCCAATCGAGCTTTTTGTATTTTTAAACGTATATTTTCTTTTTGTAATAAATCAATATTTTCGTATAATCGATTACCTGTATAAAATATTTTATTTTATTAATTTCATTTAATATTTTTATTATATTTTGCTTCATTTAATATCAACAGTATAAAAACTTTAAAATTATTGCCTGATTTTTAAATTTATGACTTCTTGCAAAAGAAATGAATTATTACAAAAACAACCACTTACCTTTAAATGCAGTGCAAATTTTACTTTCTCAAATGTTTTCAATCATTTTAAATGCCCTTCCTCAGGATAAAAACCGATTGCAATTTAAAAATAAAAACAAAAGCTGTCGTCTGGAACAATTTGTATTTCAAAAATTTAATGATTCAGAATCTCAACCATTTTATTGCACATGTTGGACTTATACTGATTGCATTCTAGACTTTCTTTAGAAGAGCCCACATGCATTGTATGAACATACAAGATAGAATACAAGAGCTGGAATACGTTAAAGCTATTGGACAATTCAGATTTAAACGTCAACAATGGCAAATATGATCAAGAGGTGCAAGCTAGGTAAGAAAGGTTCAAGGAAGGGACACACAGGCAGAATACACAGTGGTTAAATATATGGTATCTCTACACAACATATACAAAAAGATAGGAGAAGCTAATGGGAAGAAAATCACCTACAAAAGAAATCCCACTATACATGGACTACTGTGGAATGACAAAGAACCCATCAATCCAATGCACATTCCAGGTATATACAAAATAAAGTACAGTAGGATTGAGCAATACCTATACTACATAGGCACTACTAGTCAGTCATTAACATCAAGGAATAAAGAATACACGGACAGCATCCTTCTACTGCAATAGCAGTTTATGTAATGTCTGACCTGGAGTCTGTCTCAACAGACTGGGATCAGGCTAAAATAATCCAAAAAGTGCAAAGTAAAAACATAAGATACACAGAAGTATGGAAAATATACAAAACATCTTCAAGAGAGCAAACAGTAAATTATAAATACCATGTTGCAATATCCAGTGTGTGTAAGGCTCTAATAGATGTAAACTAAGATGTTAAAGCATGGAAGCAGAAAATATTATATATTTCATGTTATCTGCTAAAATTATGTTTTTTTTGTTGTTCTTGTTTTTATTTTTTATATACTTATATTTAAATCCAACACATACATGTTAATTTTTGATGCCTGAATATGTCATCTTTGTCAATTTATATGTTTAATCTATATAAAAGTCTGACAAGTGCAGTTAAATGGTTGGGATTCTAACTTGTTAAAATTTTTAAATGCAAATAGTTCCAGAGGACAGCTTTCGTTCTTATTTTTAAATTGCAGTTTTTATCCTGAGGAAGGGCAACTAAAATGACTGAAAACATTTGAGAAAGTAAAATTTGCACTACATTTAAAGATATGAGTGGTTGTTTTTGTAGTTTATGATGAATGCAGTTTTACTGAATAAATGAACTATTAACAAGAATTATGAATTATTCAAAATTATATCCATGTACAAAGAATTAAAACTTTAAAACTAATGAAGAAAATTAATATGAAAAAAATTTTTACAAGCAATCTCAAGCTTCTGTAGCTAATCATCAAAGGATGAAGAACACAAAAATGTCCTTTCAAATATAAAAAAAAAATTTCAATTTTATTGATGTAAAACCATTCAAAATTAATTTAATTTTAAAATGTTACAGTAGGTAAAGAGAGAGAGAGAGAACATTGTTCATCTGCTTTAATTTTTTATAATTAGATGGATTTTGAATGATTTTGAATTAATGGAAATTCAAATTTTTTTGATGTTTAATTAAAGGAATAGTTTTATTCTTTCACACATCAAAAAATTTGTTGTTTGAAGCCTGATGAGCCTCAGAAACTGATATTATTTGGGACTGCATGTAAGAATTGTTTACATAATTTTAAAGATATAAATTATGAATTATTTTAGTATATCTCATATTTATCAATCTGAAAGCTATAAATTTCATTATAACTGGCAAAAGTTTAAAAATAAACATTAATTCAATTAACTAATTCAATAAAATGCTAAAGCATTTTATTGAATTAATAATATAATATAGAAATCTAAATAATATTGTATGTAATGAATAAGTTAAAAATATTCATAGAATCTTGACGTACAATAATATAATTTAATAGGTTACATATTCAAAAAATTTTTAATAAGAACTAGAGTAAATCACGACTAGGTCTGTACACTAATAATAGTAATCAAACTTCATGTGTATGAAATTCAATGTAATAATAATAAAAAACAAAGAATTAATAAATATTTGAAAGATGAATATTTTCATCTTTTCATTTAAAGCTTTTCAGGTACAAATAAAAATAAGAAAATTGAAGCACTTTAAAATAAACAGTTGCCACAATTATTTCATTAAGTATATAATTATCCAATATAGTAACACACCAATCGAATGCCGAAAATCAATCGGGCTATTTTAATGCTAATTACTAAATAAATTACGTAATCAATTTGGCACTAGAGGTAAGCGTTAGGCGCCATCTCTTATTAATATTAATAATTATAAATAAATTAATTAATTTAAATAATTTAGAACCGCTGGGAGAAAAATTATATTAATTATTTAAATGTCATGGCATGTTCATAAAGTATATAAACACTTTGAAAGTTTAATAATTGGTTTAAAATAATGAATGGAAATAGTCATGTACTTCACTTCAGTAATCTGTTTTTGAAAATTGGACATTAACTATTTGGGAGTCTATTTCCTAGTATTTTAAATGGGAAAATTTAATGCATTATAGTGTCAACCCAAAACACCTAATTAATTTCTGAAAATGTAACTAAAACTCAATTCAATCTACCACATTAAAATATAATACAGTGATCATCAAATATAAAATACAGTGATCATTAATATTTGTGATCATCAAATACAGTTTTTAACAAGCAGCTGCTTTATATGTAGTAACATTCAAAGCAGCTGTTTGCTACAATCTGCTCTACCACAAACAATATATTTACAATATGGTACAGCATATAATACATAACAAAAAGATTTCTTTTAAAAATTACACACAAAAATTTTCAATTAAAAAAACAAGTAATAAATCACAACACATTGTTTTTGTTTCTGTAAATTGGAGAATTAACTGACTATTAGCAACATCATAAAGACATATTTATTAGTGTTGCAACAAATAGTATATTTGGCCAGGAGCGTGGCCGAATAGCCGAATATTCGGCCAAACTATTCGGCTTGATTAACGCACATACGAAAATTGGCGTGCAAACCACATTATGGCAAGGACCCTGCTCTCTATTGGCTTGTTGTCACTACGCTTCTCCAATCACGTTAATTCTTGACAGTTATAGCGGACAGACAAGAGCGTCATGGCAGTATGTGATAAATGATAATATCGAATGTGAATAACAATGAAATCTTATTCACATTCATGTGTAAATAACAGAAAAAGAACAGAAAAGGACGTGAAGTAAAAATGTGAAAATAAATATGAAATTGAGTTGATAATATAATCGAACAAGTCGAGGCAGCTTATTGGCGCGAAATTCGTGGCTGTCAATGCCAAACAATTGTTGTCATAGACTTCAAAAGCTACATTCTTGTAATGAAAGTCACTTAGCGTGCACGGGCGAAAGCCTGTGGCCGTTCAGGCTACCAAGCTGTCTCGAATCTGTGAAATCATAACTGGGACTTATACCGACGTCCTATCTGTCTCTTCTCTCCATTATCACCAGGCTACATAATTGTAAAATGGGAAATTTACGATGGAAAAGTGACGAATCGAAAGCATCGTGAGCGCATATTGTGATGTATGCATGGGCTTACGTGGACTAGAGCGATAGAGAAAAGAGAAAGGAAAGAGCAAAGACAACCGCTTAAAAAAAAAAAAAGGCAGGGTCAGACCCTCAGATGTGCAACGATTCTCGAACAAATAGGTATGTACGTGTGCTGATCTTTGTAATTATAAATTGTGAATACAAGCGACTAATATTATTTTCTTTTTATTTTGTGCATGCTATAAGTTATAAATAAATATAAACAAACAACACTAACCCAATAACATTAAATCTAAATACCAAAATGATTAATTTACTGTGTTTTTGTTATTTCTTACTCCTGTTTTTAGGTATTCGGTATTTGGCCAAATAGTGAAAAATAGGCCGAATACTGAATAGTAACCGAATATTCGTTACATCACTAATATTTATGCTTTCTTCTATAGGAAATATTCCATATATATTATATATATGAGATACTTTGATGCCTATTCCATCAAAAGCTATATTCAACATACACATCTGATTTCTTGACACTTGGAGGAAAATAAAAAAAATTGATAAAATTAAAGAAGTATAAATTTGTGTTGTTTAATTGCTACTCATTCTCTTGATATATCCTTTACTTATAAGTATAAATTTTATTGGAGAGAACTAATCACACAAGGAACACACTAATAATTGACTATTCCAACTTTATTATAACAGGAAATGCATTTCAGACCTTCTGCTCCTCCTCAGTCCTATACTACAGATCTTTGACTATTTCTTAAAATTATGTTAGTGACCACTGGATGAATCAACTTTGCATTCATAAGTAGATAAATAAAATTGAAATTAAAATAAATTTAAATAGATGATTTGTAAGATATGAATCACTAATAATCATATTTAATAAAAATTTGTGTATTTTTTTATAAAATTAAAACAAATTTCTCTGTATCATATTGCTATTAAATGTGAAATGTCATGAAAACTTCATAAAAATTATATATCAAATGTGAATTTCAGTTAAAATAATGAACACAATTTTCAATTATTATTCACTGAACTGTTAAAAAATGAATATTTAAACAAACAAAATTTGTGATATGTATTTTTGTGAAATGACTAGCATGCTGCATATAAATGAGGGAGACCAGCATGCCAAAAAACCCCAGGGTTACTGGCATGCCAGTCAAACTGTGAATAAGATATAAAATTAATCCGATCTAACAAAAGTAACAAATCTAAAACTAAGAATGTTTTCTTTAATGTTGTTAATTAAAC